TGATTAATTCCCAGAGATGTAAAATCGCGTTCATTAACCTACGCTTATCACACCACCAAATACGGTGTTCAAAGAAACGAAACCGTTTATCACTATTATGATCATAATGACGCCCGTGACGTCGAAAATGACTAAAAATGTGCGCGTACACATTGAAGCATGATGCACAGAAATATAATATGCTTGTATAGGATAGAACAAATGACCCGAACGAATTCCGATTTACAGATTTCTGATTTTCTTGGATTTAAATTTCATTTGGTTTCCGCTTCCCTACTCCTTCGTATTATATATATGTGCCATAGCAGAATTCGGTATACGACGGTTCGTGCCATCTTCGTCACGATGTTATAAATTTATCGATTCATCTTTTTATCGTTATATTTTATTGTATAACTTGATCTCCGAACCACATTATTGTTTTTAAATACTTAGTTAACGTTACAGTACATTAATATTGTTACGTAAGTTATTACTTAATTGTACGTCACTTTTATTGTCATCGTTCCATGATACTGCTGTTATGTTGCCAGCAGTGGCGTAATAGGATAAAATCACGATGAGTAAGGGGTAAAAAATTAAAATATTTAGTATAATGTTATATTTTGTCGTTATCAATATACATGAATTTTTAATTGGCTAGATAAAATTACAGAATTATATTAAAGTGAATTTCCCTTCTTATTTATTCGAAATTATTTCATAAATGTTGGCCGTTCTAATATTTGCACTTTTTGTTTAACAGCGTTTAAATAAACATTTGCATTCAATTGATTCGTAAGAAAAATGTAAAAATAATAATGCCTAGAACCTTGGTGTTTTTAGAAAAAATTTAAAATATATACAATACTTTTATGTATCATAAATATTTTAACTGCTTACGAACTTTACACAAAGTGCTAGATGACAACTTATATATATCAGTAAGAGTTTAGTCTGCAAATTCCTACCTTTTTAACCCTACAAAAACGCTCACTCGTCAGTAGTTTACACGAAATAAAAAACTACAAACTTGATGAGGTTGTGGAAATTATTTTCAAATAATCAGCGGCTTTTTTTGGCAATATGATACAGCGTTAATTGTGATGACGTTAATTAGATCGGAAGGTACAGAATATTGGAAAAAATTAACGGTGTCGGTGCATTAAACTCTACGAAATTAAATACTGACGTTATAAACGTTGAATGTTATGAGATTTAAAATCCAGATAGTTGATATTAATATTGAAAATATTAATGACGGGTCCATGCATCAGAAGATAATAATATTCAAAATTCAAATTCCTGATACTCAGAATCAAATATTTATAATTATATATAAGTAACAATAATAATTATAATAATAATAACCGTAGTAGGAGGTATTTGTGTATGTATTTATTAACTTTAGAAGATAATTAAATGGAAGACTGTAAATTTAAAATCACTTAATCAAAACAATATTTCGAAAATCTCGCTTGGCTGAGACGAAATGAAAATCCGTTGTATTCCTCGTAAGGCTTCGAAATTTAATTGAAAATCATAATGTTCGTACAATAAAAACGAAAGATATAAGAAACAATCTTTACTGGCAACGCTTGACGTACCCTAAAACGGCTGAATAAATATTGGTTTATTATTGTAACGTAATAATTATTATGAAATATTGGTTAATTCAATTGTATGAAGGGTAAACTCTAACTCGAATGATGTGATATTTTATGCACGTTAAACGCCAATAATTTTCGATTTGTTTGATTCATCATCAAATCACTACATTACTTCAATATTTCATTTAACAATTAAATCTGATACAACTTAGTATCTTATTATTATATTATTTAAATTACCAAACTTTATATTAAATATATAGGTATCGAGTGTTGGAAAAACAATAATAGATATTTGAAATAAATATTTTCGAACACTTGGCGCTCAACACTTTCAGTGCCATGTTCTTTCACTTTATTCACTTTAACTATTTCTGAATAATATCAATGTTGTATTTCAAAATATCGTGTTTCAGCTCCGTGGAAAGTATTGTATTCATTCATAAAAAATGGGTTTCATGATTTTTTTTTTTTTTAAAGTAACGTTCTATGATATATTGTTTGAAATATGCATCAGTCAATTCTAGACTAAGTCGAGTTGCATAACATTAAATAGAAACGTATGTAAAGTTCCATTCGTGTGAGAGTTATGTTAAGCTTTATTCTTTTTATTTCGTAAATATTCTTCGAATGAAAAATAACATGAAATTATAATACGATCCGTATGAATCACTGTAAGTATTTCTGTTCCAAACTAAACGTATATTAATTCAAGTTTAAACTTTAAGAGAATGCCATTTAAGGTCATATAAACTACTGTGACACCGAAACGATTACGTTGACTGAACCTTAACTATTTCGCTTATGCAGAAGCCATATATATATATATATATATATATATATACTTACGTAGATATTGCAATTCTACGATGTCAAATTTGTCTGCTTCGATCTTCGTGCGGCAACGCCATACATTATTGTTATTCGGATCAGATTTACATGAATGTCGATAGTTGCTTTATATGTTTTTACTATTATTTTAACTCGGAATATATGAAAATGAATGTTTAATACTTTTGGAGAATCAAACCTAATCCAAACTCATCTTTACATGTAACCATTGTAAATTGTTGTTGTTACTATAATTATATAAAAGCAAACTTTATACATTTATTCTAATAGCATAGTTGATATCTCAAATGTATATAGTTCTTAACAGACATTTAATATTCAACATATTATAATATTATTGTAAATAAATAATTATTAGAATATCGTGTTTCCTCTAATATTAAAATAAACGTCATAATAATCATAACTGACAAAAATCATGATTTTTGATCAACAACGCTTTATTTCAAATGCCAATTTTCTAACACGTTTGTATCAATTTCCTTTTAAAACATTAAACAATCCTAATTACTATTAATAAATGTAATACAATGAAGTATAACTTATTTATCTATTGTCTTATAGTACCGTCGCTGACTATCATTTAAAATGTTTACCTATTTAATATAATATAATTTGTTTAATATTTTTCAATCAATCTAAATGTTGAAGTATATGTGTAAAATATTAACTATAAATATTATTATTCATATATATTCTCAATTCATTACAGTACTAAGTAAAATTATAGTTTTATTTATAATAAACTACATTGTTTTCCAAATTTTCCAAATTATGATTAAATTCATATTAGTCAAACTATGATTAACGATTTATAGGTTTAAATTATTGTTTGCGTAGGTGAAAGGTGGTTAAACGACATATGTAATGTGTTAAACTGAAGTTCAGTACTAATCTAAGATTAAATATACTACGTTTGATACGATAGGTTTTAAGAGTATCACGTTCCTCCTTTTAGTTTTTGAAACAAATTATTATAAATAAAATGTATGTTCGATTCATTTTAAATCTGGAAGAATTATAATAATAAATTAGTAGGCAATTTATCGTAAATACAAAGTATTGATGAAAATCAAACATAATGTATTTGAGCAGACATATATTGTACTTATAATAATAAATTATTAAAAAAATATAAAAATGTGCAAATGTCGTATATTTCATAGACTTCTTACTTATCTCTTGACTTACCATAGAAGTATAATTTTTCCATATTTCTTTATTATAAAAAAATCATATAAAAATAAACGAATTTTTTCCGTCATGTCTTTTAACTAATTATTTTTAGTTAACTCCTTTTATACTAAATACAATTTTAATATTTATTATTGGTTCAATTCACTTTTTTGCTCAAACTCTATTTATATAATTTATAAACTTTTTAAAATGTACCAAGACTTAAAAATGTAATACTGATTATTTAAATCTAAAGACATTTTAAACAAATTATATTTTAATTGAAATTTAATTGTTGATGATATTATAAATACTGTTTTAAATAAGGTACTGAATATAGTATACTGAGTATGTTATTTTATAAAGTTTTAATACAATTATATGATACTCACTACCATTATATGTGTTTGTAGATAAGACGGAACAAAAATTAGAATATACCATTATGAGCCATTTAATTCTCCTCTTAAATATATAATATTGTATTTTGTTTATTTATTAAAAATCGTTTAATATTTGCTTAGAAACCATCTGAATTTCAGTTTATGTTTTCTTGTAAAATGCAGTTTTATAATCCAACTAACATAAACACAGCGTCAGTTTCTTAATATACAAACTTTATAATCTTTGAAGAAATTTACAAAAACGTAGAGAAATTAGAAAGTTTGGATTGTTGACGATCAGTTAATTTCATTGCAAACATTATGGTTAGAAAAGAAGTTGTGAATACGTTAAAATTTTGATAGTCTATTTGTCAATTACCCGAAATTTAAAAAAGAATACCATGAATCTTATTTTGTTTTGCTTTTTGTCTATTTCAATATTTATTCTTAGAATTGTTTAATATATGTTCACATGATGCGGCTAATATAAATTTATGTATTATAACATTAAATATATTGAATTTTGAACACATTTACCTATGTCCTTAATTTGTTTTTGTTCAAAATTAAATTAAATAATTCGTGGTATAACTTGAAATGAAGTAAAAAAAAAAAAAATTACAAATAGTAGTAATATTAAAATTAAGCGTGCTTAGCTTTACTATTATGCTATAGTGTCAATAATTTTAAATTCGTTTTGTAGAACCAAAAATACCCATTGAATATATTTGATTATTTGAAAATAAAACTTTAGAATCACATGAAAATAAAAATAAGATTTTGGTAAAATAATTCATAATTTTCAGAATATGTGAATGAGAGTATAAAATTTTACCGTCTAAAAGGATGTTAAATTTAAGGGAGGAGTGATGAAAAGAGCTGTATGGTGGCGTGAGTACGGGGTTTAAAAATAAAACAGTTGGCGTTGAAGAGATGTGATGTCATTGGTCCTGACGTCACAGTTGGGTGGTAGATTTCGATATAAAGGGAGAATATTTCCCCTCGAGTCTGTCTGACGTGAACTAACTGGCCACTTTGAAAAGTTGTTGTTAACCGACGACTCTATCCTAAGCAAATACCACCGCGGCACTGTTTTTACACGCTTGTACACATTCACAGGTAAAATATATTATATTTTATATATTTTTTCTAGTAATTATTAAAAATAGATAATAAGTTTATAACATTTATATTTTTTAAAAATATTTTCTTTTTTACTTTTATTGCACAAGACATGCCGAAATCTAATAAAAATATTTCGTGGTTTCTTAGTTTGTTTTATTTTTTTCTATTAGATACTCAATTTTAAAAATATTTTAATGTTCTTATCTATGAATAGCGCAATTATTAATATATACTTTTAGTAATTACTTACTATATTACTTATTATATTTAATAACTTATGTTGATAGTGCGAATCTTATAACTGTACATTTATTTTTTTTTAAATAATGCTTCCGTGTCTAATATTCAAATGATAACAATATGCTAAACACATCGTTAATAATTTGTAATACTAATGACTTAGGGATGCGATATAGTTTTATTTAAAAATTTAACAGACATATCTTGATATATATTATATATAATATGCTTTATGTTTATAATTTTTTAGTTTTGTAGAAAAAAATATAATTTTATTTAGAATTTTGACTTATTTTGTGGTATTATTATTTGTTGACTGCAATATTGAAGTTTTTGTACAAAATAAACATACACAATTATTATAGATATATTAAATTTAAATGTTAGTGATCTAGAACTAAGTTCAATTTTATTTTGTGATCTTCCACAACAACTCTATTTTTATATTTTAAACAGCTCACACTTTAGCCATTTAAATTAAATAATTATCAAATATATTTGGTAATTCAAACTTGACTCGTTTATTGTAAAATAATTATTAAAATTTTCTTTATGAACATCGTATAATATAAAACTGTAATAATAATAGTTCAAAATTAAAACATATTTTTTCATGAGTATACAAATTTTTCATTCAATACGTATAAATAGAGTAATCAAATTAATCACAACGGAATACGAGTGTATGGAATTATTAGAAGTAACATATTATCATTATGTCGAAGGCTTTTACATTTTGATTTAAAATATAGAACATAATTTTATATAATGTTCTATACGTTCTCATACGCGTTATATATTAAATATATAATTAATATAATACAATTATAAATAATATTATTCAAACGACATAACAAACATATGAATATAATAATAATAATATACGTATGATCCGTAAATCCGTGTTCAAAATCACGGTGGCTATTTGATCTTTAATGCAACGCGTTAAACTCAAACGATAGAACGTAACGCAAATGAGTACATTATGTTCATGCGATTTGGCGCAGGACTCATAACGATACTTAGCTTTTATCACGTTTCAATGCGATAATTATAATTGGTCAAGTTCGATGATATTACGTGTAAGCACGGTGGTCAACGGATTAACCGATGACTTCGATAACGGTATGATTATATGGTCGGAATATTGTTATGTTTGCATTATAATCATATGCATATATGTGTATGTGTAATATCTGTGCGCGCGGTAAAGCTGTTAACGTTACGCGTCGTTTCCGCCGTACCTACGTGTTGTGTTGTCACACTCGTAACGAAACATGAAGCTTAAACCGTACGCGTAACTACTGCTCGCCCGGCCCTGCGAACAGTGGCTTTCGGCCGTATTCGTTCTATTAATGAGCTCGTTTTTAAACACGGGTTCCGGGTAGGTATATTTTTAATTGCTTTTGTACGTCGGCAGCTGGAAACGACGTGTAGGGACAGGTAGGAGCGAGAAGCGATGGAGAGAGGTAGGAGAAACTGTAAAAAAACGATAACGCACCTTCACCCGCGCCCTTGTACCGATGTGATACGGTTCAAATGAACATGCGAGGATTCGTATCGTGCGTGTAACGAGCACACACGTACAAATGTAACCGTGGGGCTCGCGAAATCGTACACTTTGTTCTCCATTCGGTGTTGTTATTGTAATATTTCCGCGGCGGCGTTAAGTGCACCCGATGAATTCCGTTATGTTTCTTCGCGTTGATTAAAACCCGACGGCAACGGAGCTCGCGCGAGGGGTCGTAACTCGCGTCGTGTTTTACACGCCGCGTTTTCTCGTCCCGGGTCCGCGGCAGCCGGAGGCGGCGGTTGTGTGCGCCCGCAGGAATGTTGTGTACGTTTTACAAAGGATAAAGATAAGACCGAGTCACATCCACAGAGCTACGGTTTGCCGACGTTTAACGGCAACAGTGCGTACAATCAAAACCGGCGGTGGAGAACACGGCGGCCGTGACGTCATTAATCTTAATATATTTTATAATACACGGTATGCGTGTGCGGGGGAAACAGACGAATAACCGGCGTACGTAGATCGCGAGGTTCCGCGTATAAATAGCACGTGCAGCATTTAAATAATTTCGAATCAACCACGCTCCGAAAAAACAAATCGTGTCGGGCACGCGAACGGAATTCAATTTCGGAGGAGATCTGGCAGACAAAGAGAAAAAATATCGTCTCTCCACCCAAAATTATAGTCTTCTACAGTAAAAGAAAATAATAATAATAATTTTTATGAAATTTTCATTTATTCGAGGTAAAAAACAAAATAAAACAATTTTATATTTAATTACTTATAGAATAAAGATTATTTTATTTACGTTTAAATCATAAAGGTTTACGATTAATGGGCAGGTACCTAATGAACTTCCTCATCATGGATAGGTGTCTGAATCGTATCAATTCACGACGAACAGAATGGAATGAAATCAAAGGGCAATTTTATTAGGCTGCTACGTTATTTTTTAGATAGTTTCGACAGGAGCACTATAATCTCTTTGTCGATTGATCAATATTTGTTTCATATAACACTGTAATTGTTTCGTTGAGAACGAGAAATTTCACATCACAAAACTCAAGTACATTTCACATTATTTTGAATTATATTATTATGTGTACTCATTACGTATTTAATATTTAATATAAATTCAAAATAATGACCATAATAAGATTATACTGTAGTTTTTCAAATATTTCCATGTTCTTATTTTCGCTCACATTTTTAAACTAAATAATAATGAAATAAGCGTATAGTTATAAACTCATTAACACGAAATAAATATAGAAAATTAGTAACAGAAAAGTTCGATAACGTGTAAATGTAACAATGGTTAATATAAATCAAATGAGTTTTGCTCTAACCCGTTAACACACAATAACTTATATAAATAGGTTTTTTAAATCGTTTACACAAATGTTATTCTTAGTAAAACGTATGGAAAATTCGAAATTAAAAAGGTCCCTCTGCTGTTTTTATCTCTTATTTTGGAGGT